AGACTTAAATGAACTGATGCTGAGTGAAGTGTGCAGAACCAGGAGAACATTGTATACACTAACAACCACAATGTGTGATGACTAACTTTGATAGACTCATCTCTTCTTAGCAATGCAAAGATCCAAGATAATTCCAAAGGACTCATGATGGAAAATACTGTCCACATCCAGAAAAAGAACTATGGAGTCTGAATGCAAATCAAAGAATATTATTTGCTCCCTCTCTCTTTTTTTCTTTTTTCTTTTTTGTTTGTTTCTTCTTTCTCATGGTTTCTCCCATTGGTTCTAATTCTTCATTACAACATGACTAATGTGAAAATATGTTTAATATGAATGTATATGTAGAGCCTATCAAATTGCATGCCCTCTTGAGGTGGGGGGAGGGGAGAGATGGAGGGAAAATTTGGAACTCAAAATCTTATGGAAGTGAATGTTGAAAATTAAAAATAAATAAAACTTTTAAAAAAAATGTCTAAGGAGGAAAAAAATCATTGAATTAATAAATAAAACCAGGAGATGGTTTTATGGGAAAAAACATAAATAGATAAATCATTGGTTAACTTGATTAGAGAGAAGAAAACCAAATCTCTAGTACCAAAAATGAAAAGATTGAATATACTACTAACAAAGATGAAATTAAAGCAATTATAAGGAGTTATTTTGCTCAATTATATGCCAATAAAGTTAGCAATTTAAGTGAAATGGAAGAATATTTGCAAAAATGTAAACTTCCTATGTTAGCAGAAGAGGAAATAAAATATCTAAATAAATTTATCTTAGAAAAAGAAATTGAACAGGCTATGAATGAGCTTCCTAAGGAAAAAGCACCAGAACTCGATAGATCTACAAGTGAATGTTGTCAAACATTTAAAGATCAGCTGATTCCAATATTTAAAAAAAAAATATTTGCAATAATAGGCAAAGAAGGGATTCTACCAAACTCCTTCATGAAACAAACATGAGAGTGATGCCCAAACCAGGGAGAGCAAAACCAGAGAAAGAAAATTACAGACCAAATTAATTGATGAATATGTACGCAAAAATCCTAAATAAAATACTAGCTAAAAGATTACAACAATATGTTACAAAGATTCTATATTATGACCAAGTGGGATTCAGACCAGGAATGCAGGGATGGTTTAACATAAGGAAAACTATTAACATTATTGATTATTTCAATAACAAAAATTTTTTAAAATCATATGATTATTTCAACAGATGTAGAAAAAGCTTTTGATGAAGTACAACACTCCATTAAAAACACTTGCAAGTATTGGTATAAATGGATTTTTCCTGAAATTGATAAAAAGTATTTATCTAAAACCATCAGCAAGTATTATTTGTAGTGGGGATGAGCTAGAAGCCTTCCCAGTAGGATCAGGTATGAAATAAGGATGCTCACTGTCACCAATATCATTCAATATTGTATTGGAAATCATAGCAATAGCAATCAGAGAAGCAAAAAAATAGAAGGAATCCAAATAGGGAATGAGGTGCTAAAACTATTTCTTTTTGCAGACAATATGATGATATACTTGGAAAATGCCAAACACTCAACTAAAAAGCCAGTTGAAATGATGAATAATTTTAGCAAAATAGCAGGACATAAAGTAAATCCAGATAAATCATCAGCATCCCTCTATATCACAAACAAAACCCTGCAAGAAGAGATATGAAGACATGCCCCATTTAAAATAACTTGACAGAATAAACTATTTGTTCTTCTCTGCCTATTCTGCCCAGGGAGTCTTCACATGTCTGGGGTAGACACCCCCTTAACTCGCCAAAGGTTTGAGACCCCTTGGTTACCATCAAACTGGTTTAGTCCATCTGCCAAAATGGTTTACCAGGGTCTGGCCACTGCTCATGCCACAGCTTCTTGGAGCCACAGATGAGAGTTGAGTGATAGGTGGACACCAAAAGTGGATGGACATCCCTAAAATAAATGAAATAAGGTGAAGACTCCAAGCAAAATCAGTTTATTAACAGTGATGCATATAATTGTTAACAAAGCAGGTCAGACAAGCACCCTCAGTAAGGCCAACAGCCCCAGTGGGAAGGAGAGGGTTTTCCTTATTGACACACAGCAAAGAAGAGGTATTGGGAAGGTGTGGAACACTACAACTGGCCATTCTAAGGAAGGTGGGCTGGCATTCTGGTGACTCTAATTGTGCCCCTTTCTGACAATTAAGCAATGTTAATTGTTTGAGGTAACCCCTCTGCATTCTGTAATCTTTGCTAAGGGATCAAAACTACCAGACTTGCTGTCTCCTTGGAAGAGATAAAACTCCCCTGATTGAACAAGGACAGTCAAGGACAGACAACATATCTTTTGATGGTACCAAGTTAACTTATGGGGCTTAAAGATAGTAAACAGATATCCTAAAGGTACTGAAGGAGCTACTGGCATGAGAGTTAACAACCTTTCTTTCAATTACACCTTTAAATTAACTCAGAGGGAAAGCTAAATTCCTGAGCTCAACTCAAGGACAAAGCAAGGTGGCTTCAGGCAGATGCAGACTTAATTATAAAATCAATGCAACGTAAAATCACTTATATTATAGAATCAATACAGGAAGCATCAATACAGTAGAAACTTGAAGTAATGTTGATTTTGATCTTCCCAGCACTAACCAGACCCAACCCTGCTTAGCTTCTGGCATCAGTTGGGGTTGAGTGCATTCAGGGTGATATGGCACTAGACATAGACACTTCACTGGAAGGTGATCAATTTTACCATTAGTAAATAGTACAACATGCCTGGCCAGAAAGAGGAAATTGAAAAGGAGTCTGGGAAAACCAATTACAAGTGTGGTCCATAGGGAATGAAAGAAATACAATGAAAAGGCATTTATTCAGTATTTCCTCTACTCTGTGCCAAGTTCTTGGGTACAAATGAAGACAGGAAGCTCCTTGCTCTCCAGGAGCTCACATTGTACCTGGAAGAAACAACATAAATAGGAGGGTTTCCCTGCAGGTGGATGGAATGTTGGGCCATTCTGTGCCCTTGGGCTGAGACCTACAGGACCAGGATGGGCATGTTGTTATAACCATGTCTGTCCCTCCTTCCTTTCATAGCAAATCTCTCTAACCATGGCAGGTAAAATTGTATTTTTGTTATTTAATGATTCTTGTTACTGCAATTCTCCAGCACCTCTGAATTGCTATAATGGGATTAAGAAAAAAAATAATGTCCCTTATTGGGAGCCCCCTCAGATGTTCTTCCTCTAGCTCTGTTGTTCATAAATTTAGCTCCATAAGGTCTGAACTGGTTTTCACCACATCAACTAATTTCTGGAAGGCCAATCTGATTTGATTTTGTCAAGTTTTACTAAATTATATTCTCATCACTAGCAGCCTTTATCAGCATTACTTAGAGAATCTGCACAAGTGACCTGGAACATGGATGCTGGTCAAAAGAGAGTGGGGGCATCTTGTTTGGAGGTGGAGCCCTTCCTTGGGCCAGTCATCTGAGGAACGACCTAACGGGACATGCACAGACACCTGAGAGGGGCACAGGAAGTGCTCCCCAGACACGTGAAGAAACAGATCATAGACACTGCCAGACTTGACACTCCTAAAGCCACAGCTACATTGGATATCTTGTTTTACCCTATTGTAATATTGTTTGTTTGATTAGGTCTCTCAGTGTTACGGACCCATTATGTATTCTGTGAGCTGTGCATCATTTCTGCTCTTACTGATACTACTTTGGGAATTGTTAGGAAATCCCAAGATGATTAGTTTCAAAAGGGAAAAATGCATGGTTAAATTTTGTATAAGCATAAAATAGAATGTTGAAAAAAAAATGTTGTCCCCCTCCACAAGGTTGCAAACAGAAAAAGGAGGCAATAGATTTGCAGATAAACTGCAGGATTGCATAAAAGGAGATATCTGGAGGGTCTTGAAAACAGGATAAAGAGAAGGCATTGAGTCAATGTTGTGTTAACTCAGGAATGATATTTGGTAAAGAGAAGAAGCCAGAGTTGTTTGTCCAAGAGTAGATAAATGAGGACTCTTTAGGGAACTTTGTAGAGTTTCACAAGCTACCTTCATGTACATATTCAGCCTACATCCATATATTCAGGTTACTGCCTGTGGTAATCATCAAAATTCTCATTAACTTGAAACAGTTTTTGTCTTCTGATTTTTGTGACCCAACACTTGTTATGTATTCCAAATTGGTGGAAATGACAAAAAGGAAACCAATGATAGTTTTTTTTTTATTTTGAAGTTCTCAAACACAAAAGGAGCACTTTATGTATACTCTAAATCAGAAAAAGAAGATTGCATAGGAAACGATTTCTATTATGTAGAAATTGGTTTTATTTTTGCACAATAAAAATTTCAATATGTTATTTACAAAGCTGTCCTGATTTTATTGGAAACTTCCTCTCTTCTATTAAAAAAAAATCACAAGTAATTACCTTCTTTTCCTTTTTTGGTGGGGGTTATGGTAGGGATCCAACCCTATTCCTGGTCTCCTTTCTACTGCCATTGTCTCCCATCCAAATTTGAAAAACAAACAATAAGTATTTGTAACGAAAGAACATAGTCGAGTACAAATCAATTCCCAGGTTGTCTGTTACCCAGATGTATTTTTTATTCAACACGCCAAATTTATCAGCTCTGAGTCAGGAGGCAGGTAGCACAGAGTCCTCTGGAATAGTGGTGGGTCATTACGGGAATCAGAGTCGTGACAGCTTTCAAAGTTACTGGTCTTTACGATAATTGCTGATTCTGTGGCATATTTGTATTCAAATCCACCCATATAACAACCTTTGTTCCACTCTTGCTCTATTCTAGGGCATGATACCTTAGTTTCAAGTTGTTATCACGAAAGAAGCTCCAAGAAATATTTCCATACACTTCAGCCCTTTTCCTCTTTCTTTGATTTAAGGGAATGTGCCCTCTAGTGCTATCACTGAGGCAAAAGGGGCACACGATGTAGTGACTCTGGGAGCTTCACCAACAGGGAATTGAATAATTTGCCTATTTCCTTTTTTTTTTTTGTTTGTTTTTTCTTGTGTAGAGGGCCAGCTCTGAGGAGTCCAGTTTGGGTTGAAGAGTGCAGGACAAAGCTTAAGTCTTGCCTGTTCTTACCCTCAAAGGCTCACATTCTCCGGATGATTCGCTCACCATTCTCCAATGCAAGGGGAGGTTCTGTAAACATTCTGACTGACCCTTAAGCCCTGATAACAGGCAGGAATGAACAATAGCAGTCACGTATGAGGGCTAAGGTTAGGGAGTGTCCCATGGGAATGACTCTTTGAAACTATGTAATTTTGCCTATATAAACTGTGACCCTCAGATGAATAAGCGGCTCCGTCTTCATTGACCCTCCTGGCCCACGTTTCTTCATTTCGCGCTCTCCCGTGAGGTGCCCCACTAGTTGGGGGCAACAAGTGGCGCCCGAACAGGGACCTGAAAGAAGGTGTGAAGGGAGCAGCTCTCTTGGCACTCCGGAAAAGAAAAAGAAAAACCTTGGCGGCCCAACGCTGTGGAAACAAGGTAAGAGAGGGACGGTCATGAAAGACAATCCTTTAGCAGTTTTACGGCTAAAAGGGGACACCAGGCTAAGTGAGTTATAGGGAAAGCAGAAATTCTCGGTACTAAGAGCGTAAGAAAATAGTTTCCCTTTGGAACAACTATGAGAGCATACTTTCGATTCTGACAGGCGTCCTTGGAATCGAGAGTATGGGACAATCACAAAGCGGAAGTAAAGACAGGGAATATTATTTACAACTTTTAAAGAAAATAGTCAAGGAAAGAGGTTTACTCATTACAAGCAATCAGTTACAGGAATTTTTAGATCGCGTAGAAACATGCTGCCCGTGGTTCCCACAAGAAGGAACAATAGATTTAGAAAAGTGGGAGACAGTAGGCAGACAAATGAGTGAATATTACAGGGAAGGAGGTCCAGGTGCATTTTCTCTATCTGCATTCTCGATATGGAATGTATTGAAAATATGTCTCACACCACCGGAGAATGTACCTTCAGCAACAAACATACTTAGGGTAGATACAGGGACAGGGACAGAGGAGGAAGAAGAAATGAGTCAGATGCTCAATGCACAGCTTGAAGTTATGGAGAGTGATGGGGAAGAGGTTATGTATACACGTCCCATTACACCCTCAGCCCTACCAAGACCCCAACCTTCTTATACATTCACCTCCTATAAAGAAGAAAAGGAGAAAGAGGAAAGCTTTGGTAAACATCAGAAAGACAAGATATTACAGTGTAGAGGACTATTAGAGGAGGCAACAAAAAGATCAGAGGAAAAGGGAGAAGAGGTGCCCATGGATTTCAAACTTGCTATTCCAAGGGGCATGATGTTTCCAGTATATGAGGAAGTTAATCCCAGTAACCCTGGAATTCTGACTAGGGAACACCGAAATTTTGAATTTAAGATCCTAAAAGAATTAAAACAATCATCCCTGGAATATGGACCTAATAGTGCAAACATTATTAGATCCCGTAGTTAACGCATCCCTAGCGCCACATAATTGGTATTCATTAGCAAAAACATGTCTTGATCCTGGAGACGACTTAATTTGTAAATCAGAATTTTTTGAACAATGCCAAGAGCAGGCGAAATAGAATACAAGAACAGGGATTCCTGTCTCTATGGAACAATTGACAGGAACAGGGATACATAACTGAATTACAAGAACAATTACAGTTTCCACTTATAGCATGTGAACAAATTATGAAAGCAGCTCGAGCAGCTTGGTTAAAAGTACTTGGAAAACAGGATAGAGGCAAATCTTTGACTCAAACAAAACAAGGCCCCCAAGAAACTTTCACAGATTTCTTAGTCCGGCTAACACAAGCCATTCAAAGGAGTGTTACCGATTCCACTGCGACACAGATACTCCTACAAAAATTAGCTAAAGAAAATGCTGACGCTGATTGTCAAAAGGCCTTACAGGGTGGAAAACCAAACATAACCATTACAGAAATGATTAAAAAATGTCAGCGTGTAGGAACCACACACTTTCAAGCCCAAGTTATTGCAGCAGCATTTAATGGTAATCATAACAGACAATGCATACTGAAATGTTTTAATTGTGGCAAGCCAGGTCATATGAGAAAGGAATGTAGAGCTCCCAAGAATACATCGCAACAACTTCCTAATACCCCCTGTCCAAAGTGTCAACGAGGCAATCTTTGGGCTTCCCAATGCAGATCCTCTACTAATATTAATGGGCACCCTTTAAACCCCAACATTTTTGTTGTTGTTTTTTGTTTTTTTGGCTAGGCAACGGGGTTAAGTGACTTGCCCAGGGTCACACAGCTAGTAAGCGTCAAGTGTCTGAGGGCAGATTTGAACTCAGGTCCTCCTGACTCCAAGGCTGGAGCTCTATCCACTGTGCTATCTAGCTGCCCTTAATTTGCCTATTTTCCCACAGTTCCTCCAACTCTGGTTATTTTTTTCCCTTGTCATCATTGCCAATTTACATGAGGGAGAGGTGCAACCTCAAAGATATTTTCGTTTACATTTATGTATTATTAGTGATTTTAAGCATATTTCCTTAAGCTTTTAAAAAACTTAATATTATTTTAAAATAAACAAATCTTTCTTTCTCCCTCTCTGACCTGCCATTTCACAGGTGTAAAGGAAAATAAAAAAAGACTCTCATAACAAACATGCAGTCAAGCAACATGAATTCCCTCTAATATTTGTTATTTCCATTTTCTTCTCGCCTTTACTAATCTGAGAGTCTTTCTGACTATTATTGATTTGCATCAGTGGTAACAGATGTAGAGCTTTTTTCCGTATTAGTGTTGATAGTTTTTATTTACTCCTTTGAAAATGACCTGTTCCCACTTTTGATCACAGGTCTATTGAGGAATGGCTCATTCTTATAAACCTGTATCCATTTTTTGAACCCTTCGGATGGGAGGTTTTTATCGGAAAGACTTGCTGCCCGTTTTTTTCTTGGTTAATAGCTTCTCTTTAGATTTAAGATGCGTTGGCTTTTTTACGTGACGAAAGTTGCCCATTCGATTTTCCGTGATCCCCCTGTGCCTTGTCTGGTGATGGGGTCTTCCCTACCCAGCATTGCAAAATGTATCTTCTTCATGGTTCAACGAATTTGTTTGAGGTGAACTTTTCATCTAACTCACATAAAAATTCGAAGCTAATCTGGTATAGAGTGTGAGATGCTGGTCTATGCCAAGTTTCTGCCAGACTGCTTTCCAGGTTTTCCTAGCATTTTGTAGTGATTAGTGAGTCCTGGCAATGTAGCTGGAGGTATTGGATTTATTGAACACAAGGTTAAAACACTAATTTTCTTTTTAAAAAGTTTTCTTTTATTTTACCTACAAATTGAGGCCTTCCCTATACCCCTGCCCCACCCATTCAGATGATAAGAAATATAATACCCTTCTACAAAATGTATTGCTACATTAGCCATGTTCTGGAAAAAAAAATCAAGAACAATAAAGAAAGGGGGAAAATGCTTCAATCTGCACTCTGAGTCTGTCAGTTCTCTCCCTGCACATGGACAGCATTTTTCATCGTGAGCCCTTTGGAGTTTGGGTGAGTCAGTTTATTGATCAGTTACTAAGTCTTTCACAGTTGATCATCATTACAACATTGTTACTACTGTGTACATTTTTCTTCTGTTCTGCTCACTCCACTTGGCATCTGTTCATATAAAGTCCTTGCAGGCTTTTTTGGAAACCACTCTTTTCATCATTTCTCAAAGCACAATAGTATTCCATTACATTCATATACCACAACTTGTTCAGCCATTCCCCAATTGATGGGCATCCTCTCAATTTCCACTTCTTTGCCCCAACAGAAAGAGCTGCTATAAATATTTTTGTACATGTGGGTTCTTTTCTTTTTTTTTTTTTTAATCTTCCTGGGGTATAGACCAAGTAGCAGTATTTCTGGGTCCAAAAGTATGCAGTTTTATAAACTTTTGGGCATATTTCTAAGTTGTTCTCCAGATTAGTTGGACTAGTTCACAACTCCACCAACAATACATACCTACCTTCCCACATACTGACCAGCATTTGTCATTTTTCATTTTCCATCATCTTAAAAATCTCATGGGTGTGAGGTGGTACCTCAGAGTTGTTTTCATTTGTATTTCTCTATTAGTAATTTAGGCCATTTTTCATATGACTATTAGATTTTTCTGAATAATGCCCATTCATATCCTTTGACTATTTATCAGTTGGGGAATATATAAATTTGGCTCAGTTCTCCACATATTTGAGAAATGAGATCTTCATCTGAGAAAGTTTACTAAAGTAAAAATTTCTTCTCAGTTTCCTAATTTTCTTCTAATTTGGACTTCATTGTTTTGGTTTGTACAAAAACTTTTAAATTTCATGTAATCAAAATTACCTATTTTATGTTTAATATGAATGTATATGCATAGCCTATATCAGATTGCATGCTGTCTTTGGGAGAGGGTAGGGGAGGGAGGGGGAGAAAATTTGGAACTCAAAATCTTTTGGAAGTGAAAGTTGAAAACTAAAGATTAATTAATTAATTAATTTTTAGAAATTGCCCATTTTATCTGCTGTCAACCTTTATCTCTTGTTTGGTCATGGGTTTTTTCTCTACCCAGAGATCTGACAGTTAGTTTCTTCCAGGCTCCTCTAATTTGCTTATGATGATCCATTTGTCTAAATCACATGCCCACCAGGGTGGATGTCTGCTACTTTTACTGCTAGGTCTATAGGCTTGTAAGTTTTTAGTGCTTCTAAAGTGATTTTGGAAAATCCAAAGATTCAGGGAAAGATCTGATCACTGGCCTCTTGGTATGTGCTCTGGTCCTAACAGAGGTAGTGAGAAGGCAAGCAATTTGATAGTTTATGCATGTGTAGTCATGCAAAACATATTTCCATATTAGTCATGTTGTGAAAGAAAACACATACCAAAAAAAAAACCCCACAAGAAACATAAAGTTTAATAAAGTATTCTCAGTGCATTAGGACTTCATCAGTTCTTTCTCAGGAGGTGGATACCACTTTTCATCATCTGCATTGTCGTGGATCCTTATATTGATGAGAATAGCTAAATCATTCAAAGTTGATCAACATTTGCTGCTACTGTGTACAATGTTCTCCTGGTTCTGCTCACTTCACTTTGCATCAGTTCCTGTAAGTCTTTCCTGGTTTTACAGAGAGCATCCTGCTTGTCATTTCTTATAACACAATAGGATTCCATCCCAACAATATACTAGAACTTATTCAGCCATTCCCCAGTTGATGGGCATTCTCTCAATTTCCAGTTCTTTGCCACCATCAGATGAGTTGCTGTGAATACTTTTGTTCATATTGGTCCTTTTTCTCTTTTGAAAAATCTATTGGGGATGCAGACCTAGTAGTGGTATTGCTGGGTCAAATGGTAAGCATTGATTTATAGCCCTTTGGGCATCATTCCAAATTGCTTGCTAGGATGGTTGAATTACTTCACAACTCCAACAATGCATTCATGTCCCAGTTTTCCCACATCCCCTCCAATATTTGTCA